GTCTCTCTGTTGTCCCTGCCCCGGGTACCATTTCGTTTCTGTGAACTGATGTCAACAAGTGAATCATTTTTTGTCATGCCACCGAAATGCATATTCTTTGGCACAAAGCTTGCACCTCACCTCTGCGAGTCCCAGCGTCGAACCTTGGCATATTTTAAACGTTTACGACGCACTGTCCACACACTCCCCCAAGTCACTCAAAAGAAACACTGAAAAGGGGGGGTTTACCATTTACATAAAAACTAGCCCCTTCCCAAAGATATTTTTCCATCATTGTTCGAACACATCACCAAGATACCCAAAAATTTCAGGTACCCAAAGTATTCGCCAGTGACAAAATAATCCAAAACTAGCCCCCTTTTGCAATCACACAGTAAAAATAGCTTTTACCAAAGTTTTTCCCCTCTTGTTTGGGTATATATTGCTTGAAATGAGAGCCTTCCTTTTTGAAAAAAACCAAGGCCATCAATAAAAAGCTTCCTAAAGGGATAAAAAGCATGCAGCCTTTTTTTTTCAGGTACATAAACACTTTCTATTTTAAAAAACCCTGCGCTTCTGTCAGGCCTGGTTTTGTCTAAAAAGTGTAACATACGTAACAGTATCAGGAAACGTTTGACCCCTATAAGTCACTAAAACCTGGAGTTGAAATCAGCTTCTGTTGCCCAATGTGGGACAGTGGTTATACACATTTGGCAAACATTTTGGGGCAAAAAACAGTAAAACTCTGCCACAGTTGTCCCTTTCCATTTGTGAGCCGTGATTTGGGAGAGTTTTGTTTTTGCCATGGTGAATCACATATTTGTTTTTTTTCCCTGACAAAGTCCATCGGGGGTTCACAAAGAAAAAACTCAAAGCATCCATTCACGGCTTTGTTCCAAGTGGCAAGATGGCTTTTTTTCCACTTTTTTTCATCAAAGCATGGGACGGGAAAAAACTCGCACCGCCGCCAATCCCGTTGGCGGTCTGCTGGGGGTCTGGAATTGTACCGTGGTTTGGTTGTGCAGGTTGTGGGGGTGCGGTTTTGGGAGTGTGGGGTAGGGGGGCTGGTTGTTGTGCAGATCAGCAGCGGGGGTATAGGTGGGTATAGTGTGGCCCGCTATGGTGCCACATGCCCCGTGCCACCCTCACACACCACCACGCCTGCTCCATCACTCACTTTCATTCTACCCACGTTACAATATCGTCACTTCACTATAAATCGGGGTTGGGGGCCACGGGATGTTCCATATTTGGAACAACATATGAAACACTACCAAACCCATCATGTCGTACTTTAACTGCCGCTTCACTGGGGAATTTTCACCTCACTTCACTAAACTGCTTTTTAATACCTGAAACACTATCACTGCAACATCTGGGTGTTGTACACGACCCAAAAAGTTTCCTCTTGTCCTGGTAAAGGTGAAAAGTGAAAAAGCCCCGGGGCCAGCACCGAGGTGGAAGGGGTTGTGGGGGCATCGGGTTTTTATCCTAATTAAATTATCCTGGGCACTTTTTTTTTTCCGGGAACACTCACTTCAAAACCCCGGGAATTTTACTGTCACTGACTTTTCATCGCTGTTTGAGCTTTACTTGGGAACAAAGACCCCAATCCGCCCCAGGAGTGAGGAACTTCTTACCGAGAGGCAGGGGAAAATGGGCAACAACATGGCATTCCACAATGATCGCTGGGCCCGATTTTTTTTCACAGGGCACACCGACCAGAACCCATTTTCCCCTTTGTGAGGGCCCACCCGGGCCCTTTCCCCCCTTGATTTGAAACCGCTAAATTTTTCGGTATAAATACGCAAAACATTTGGGTCATAAGACGTATTTATAAATCGGAAACAGTCAAAGGGTTAAAATTTTCCCCAAAATAGCTCGCCATCTACCCAAAACCTCCATTCCCCATCTACTAACTCCCCCTTTTCTGTTTTTTAACTATAACACCCCTTTTGGCAAAAGTATGGAGTGAAGATGGGGACAGTTTTTCTTTTTTTGGGGCCCCCCGCCTGGCGGGGAATGGCCAGGGGTTAAAAAAAAAAAATCCATTTGTTCCCTAGGGTTTCTTAACTTGTTTAACTCACTCCAAAATTTTTTTTTATTTTTATTAAAATTTTCCCTTTACAGTACCCCTCCCACTCTATCACCGCTCCCCGCATCTCTCACCACTCTCTTCACCTTTCTTTTTTCTCCCATTAAACCACCTTCAAACCTCTGCCTGAAAAACCTCTCATAAGCTACCTTTTTTCTCTTTTTTCACACCTTTACTTCTCATTTCCCCCAATCACCCTCTTTCCTCCTGCACCCACCCTCCTATAACCACAAACTTCCCCCACATTTTAATACTGCATTTTTTAACCCTTTCAGGGTCCGCCCCAGATCACGGGTTTAACGGTGAGTGTCCAAACCGAGAACACGCCCCTGAGCCCCTCACTCTGAAAACTGGAGTGGCTTTGGGCCTAAATGAGAAAATACATCAAGTGGATGTGTGCACCACATAAAACAGTCCTGCACACACTTGTAAATGAAAAAAAAAACGAAACATGATTTTTCATTTAAAAAAGCACTTTGCAGTGTTTTTTTTTTTTATGTTTTTTATAGTTGTATTTTCGATTTCTTGGTCCATTTGATGAATGGAAACAATTACAAAAAAGAGATATTTTGATTGGGTTTTTGCACTGGGAAAAGGGTTTAAAAAGAGCCAAAGTAGCGGAAATGTTTAAATTTTTGCCGTATTAAGATAAACAAACACCTCACACATCAAAAACACATCACTGGGTCTAAAAACATTCACAAATATGGGAGATTTTATACAATTTTTAAAAAAGATTTCTAACAAAATCTCTATTTTTTTGGGGGAATAAAATCATTATGTGAAAAAAAAATCAAAAAAGGGAAATTTTTTTTGTAAAACCCCAAAATGAACAATGAACAAGAAATGATTTTATTTCCAGGAAACCCACATTTTTTATTCTGGAGCCAATTTTGAAATTAATATTTTTAACTTTGGTTAAATTGGCAAAATTTAAAAATTTCCGATACTTTTTTTTTGTATTGAAACAGTTTGACTTGGCATTTCTTTTGCTCAGTTTTATAGAATAGAAAAATACTATGAAAAAACAAGAATTTTGGTTGATTGGAATAATGTAATTGGGCCCAAAAAGGGAGTCAAAGTCGGGAAAATCTCCGATTCGAAAAAATCACGACACATCAAAATTCCGAGAGCATAATTTCGTCAAATTTTCCCCCCAAATTTCGTACTTTTTTTTTTTTACCTTCCAAAAAGATTTCCCCTAACGATTTCAAAAAAAAATAACAAATTTTTTTTTTTTTTTTAAAATTTTTGACACTGGGGCGTGACTTCAGATTTGGCCTTGGACCCTGAAAGGGGGTTTAAAAATATTCAACCCCTTCAACCCCCCCCACTACTCATACCTGCACCAGTCCCCCTTTTTGCCAATATTGCTTATATTTTACCCGAACTTTCCCCCTCCCTTAGTTTTAACACTTTTCACCTCCCTCTTACTTTTTGTTGCATTACCTCATATCCCATCACCTCTTACTCTAACGTACTACAACTAATAATGATCCGATAATATTGCCCCTCTAAAACGGTTAATCCAGCCTAAAACCCCTTAACCTTTTATCCACCAATACATAATCTAACAAACTACTTTCAACATTTTTTTTATCTATCACAATCAACAACAGACATATTAAACAAATGTTAAAATAGAAACATACAATACTCTAGAATGAATAAAATAATCATGTATAACAACAGGGGTTTTGTTGTTGTTGGGCGCATAAGGGCCACGGATCATAAGCCATACATACTGTTTTTGAAAGCTGCAGCAGAGGCAGTGGGGTTTTTTTTGTAGCCCTATATAATCCAACAACCTGGAGGATTAGTAAATTGCTAATCACGAAGAAGGGACCCCTACCACATCCAACCCCCCTCTACCACATCACAACCACAACCACCCCCTACCCCCCACACTACCACCCCCTACCACCCTCACAACCACACCACCATCACTACCACCCTCAAACCACCATCATCTACCCTCTACCACCATCACTACCACCCTCTACCCCACCACTTTTGTTTTTTCTACAAACTTTTTCTTGAATTATACATGTTTCTCACATTCTTTCCAAAGGGCTGGCACTAGAAGCTTTTTTTGGGGGCCCAAAATGGATATTTACTCACACACAATAAAAAAGTGGCAAAAAAAAATGGATTTTTTTCAAAAAGTTTTTTTATGACTTGGCAGGAATTCTCACCGCCAAGAAACAATCACACTGGCTGAGAATGGTGGGGAGGCACTTTGTCTGCATGCGGGGACGGGCAGGTTCATACAGTTGAAGAAAATGGGGGTAAATTGACAAAAATGGAAAAAAAAAAAAAAACGAAAAAAATCGGCCAAACCGAAATTGCAATAATGGAATAGACGAAAACAGAGGGGCCCCGTAAATTGTTTAACCCAGACTTAAACTTACGACAGGCTCTCTGACCATAACATACCCAAATAATGAAAAAAGAGCTGATTACCTCGATTCTTTTTATTACAATGTACAGTACACTGCTGTATAAACATTTAAAAATATACCAGAAATGTTATAAATACATGTAGTGCAAAGGTAACATTAAAACAATATCAAAGATGGTTGACATAAACCCACTACAATTATTGTATGTTCCTCACTTAGCTACGAATTTGTTTACCAACTTGGTTTTAGGAACGGAACTCCGTCATTAAGTGAGGAGAGGCTGTATAGTACTGCAAATACTGTACTTGTTTTGGACAATCTAGTTGTTTTTTCAAGTACCAGCTTTTAGCTCCAGATGTTCTGCAAAATCTACCAAAATACTTCAAAAAAAAAAAAAAAAAAAAAAAACATACTTCACTGACATGAAATGTTTACCCTTAAAACTTGTCCTTGTGTAGTGTTTCTCTGAAATTTCAGATATGAAGCTATCATTACTTATTTGTAAATATAACTTTATTTTTCAGTGTATGCTCTTGATGCCAAGATGAAATTTGATGACAATGCAGAATTTCGTCAGAAAGAGGTATTTGATGAACGTGATTGGTCACAAGAAGATGCTAAGGAAGTTGAGGCTGCAAGATACAACCTAAATTACATTGCCCTTGATGGTTTGTTTTCATTTTTATATTAGTTTCTAATAATTTTTTGGTTTTAGTTATTAAAATAAATGACACAAAATTTTATTTTCTGTCTTGAGACTGCCATTGTAGCATTGAAATATTCTCCCAATATTTTGACCAGCAACTCCCCACACTTAATTAATGTTAAGTGAATGCTAACATGGAAACAAAAAAGTGACATTTAGTGAATTTGACAAGGGAAAGAAACATGGGTGCTGTTAGGTTCCCAACATTTTTGTCTTATGTTATAGAATTGAATCCTACTATTCTGTAGTTTATAGCAAGTAAATTCTACAGATTTAGTGCTCTCTGGAGAATATTTCCTACCTACGAGCCTGGCCCGTGGCTGGGCTCCGAGAGTAGTGAGACTCTTAAAACTGATCACAGGTATATCTGTCCCATGGGTTTGGTAACATGGATTGGGTAAAGGATACTCACATAGGCAATAATGGAGTATAATTAAAATGGAATATATGGGAAACACCCAGCCTGACCTATGTCTCCACTCCCTATCTTTAGACTGACTCACGAGATGGTTCCTAGGGGTGAGGGGCATTCAAAAATATGCTAAGGTCAGCTGCAACAATGAATAAGTGATTCACACAGACGGTTGGTAGTGAGTCACTACTGACACTGGTAACTGGTTACTGGTACTGGTACTACTGAGAGCTCAGCGATGCTAACATATGTCGTCCCGACATACAGCTAATACAAACTAGAGACGACAGGCTTATGGCTTGGGCTGATTCTGTACAATGTCACAGTACACAACAATTGAACATTATAATATACAGTAGACCGTCATTTAGCACAAGTTTATTTGGCACGATACATGGTAGAGAATCTTTCTTTTGAAGATAATGACACCTTAAGTACAAAATTGGATAGGAAACTTACGGAATTATGCAGGCGTGAAGTTGGTAGTTTGGGTGCAGTATAACACATCGGCAATTTTGCTCACTTTGAGTCATATTTTAAGCCAATTCCATTTCTCAAGTCAGCCAAATTTGGAGCTATTTCTCTAGTATGCCTTCTGTTCTATCGATTGCACACAAGAAGTTGTCCATTCAGTCATCAGAACTATAAGGTGCACAGAAGTCAGTTCAACCATTTTACACAAGTAAAAAAACTTTCTTTAAAAAATAATTTCAAAATAAACACTATAAACATTCCAGGCACTAAAACAAAATTTACTCTGTTCATTATTCACATTACCAGGCCTCTTCTGTATTACACTTGCCTTCCATTTTATTAAGGATTTGGGTACGTAATGTACAGTTCTAGATCAACGAGCAATGACATTATAGTTTTTTTTTTTTAACTAATTGTTATTGATGAAACCAACACTTGAATTTGTTTGTTTTTTTTGGAGGTGTCTGGAAACTAATCCTGTTTTTTCCATAGCACAAAATTATATAAAGAGCTGATTTCAGAAACATAACTCGAGTGTTATGTGATGTTTACCTCTATATTACAATTATTACTATTTTTATTTCTTTTCCCAAGCCTTTTTGTGGTCCATCCCTACTTCCTTGGTTTTCTCTCCTTCCCTTGCCTTCTCTCCCTCCCTTACCTTTTCTCCCTCATCTGCCTTCTCTCCCTCCCCTGCCTTCTCTCCCTCCCCTGCCTTCTCTCTCTTCCCTGCCTTCTCTTCCTCCCAGCTTTCTCTTCCTTCCTTTTTTTCCCTACCTTGTCTTCCCTTCATTATTTCCCCTTGTCTTCCCTTCATTATTTTCCCTTCCTTGTCTTCCCTTCATTATTTTCCCTTCCATGTCTTCCTTTCATTGTTTTCCCTTCCTTGTCTTCCCTTCCTTGTCTCTCTTCCTTGCCTTCTTTTTCTCCTCATATTCTCCCTCCTCCCTCTTAACCCTTTGACTGTCGAAGGGCCCAATCCTGAAGTTGCTCCTGGTGTCGCAAAATATTCGAAAAAAAAAAAATTATTTTTTCTTATGAAATGATAGAGAATCTTTTCCCGATTGTAAAGACACCAAAAAAACGAAATTTGATGGAAAACTGACGGAATTACGCTCTCGCGAAGTTAGCGACTTCGGCGATATTTAAAAATCGGCAATTTCGCCCACTTTGAGCCCTATTTTCGGCTAATTCCGTTATTCCAGTCAACCAAACTCATAACTATTTCTTCAGAACTCTATTTTTTCTATCGATTGAGCACAAGAAACTGCCCATTTACCGATTTCAACTACCCAATAACATGGTCAGAAATTTGCAATTTGGCCAATTTCATGAAAATTAAAAAATACGACAATTTCAAAATAAGGTCCAGAATGAACAATGCAGACATTCCTGGCTCTAAAATAAGATTTTCTTTGTTCATCAGTCATGTCTCCAGGTCCCTGTGATATTACTCTTGCTTTTTATTTTGAAATTTTATTCAAACAAAAAATAGAAGATTTACTGTTATGCAGACTACTGCAATACTGTAATAATTGTAAAAATTACATCAACCCATTCATGACTGCGTATTAGAATGGCTATTTGGACATTTATTGGACAATGACATCATTTGTTTACTTTTGAACATCGGCAAAAATCAAACATTTCCTGTACTTTGTGCTCCATTTCCAGGTTCTTTTTATAGTAAAATTAATCAAAATCACCTCCATTTCTATAATATAGTTTCCATTCTATCAAATGAGACCATGAAAACGAGAATACAACCACAAATACTATACGAAAATAGACCACAAAGTCGGCATTTTAATTAAAAAAAACGGTCGGAGTTTTTTTTTTCTCATTATGCACTGCGTGCTCCAGGATTTTTTTTATGTGGTGCACACTGACCACACAGACCCATTCTCTCACATGTGGGCCTACTAGCTTTCTCCTGCCTGCTTTGAAGCCGCTAGAATTTATGAGTATATATACGTCAAACACGGTACCTCACAAACGTATATATACGGCCGCGACAGTCAAAGGGTTAAAGAATCTCATTGGTCATGGGATTAACAGGAAAATCTGGTCTTGCTAGGCTGCAAGAGTAGAAAACTTTTGAAACTGTTTACAGGCTATAATAGTTTAAAAGTATTATGAAAGCCAAAGACACGGAAGTAAAAATTAATAATTCTCATTTGCATAAGATTTTGAACTCTGGCCCACTGATTTACCAACCCAATATGATAGGTATACTGCCAGATCAGCTAGACTCTTGATAGCTATGTAGGCCAGCAGGCTGCTTGCATCAAGAGCCTGGTTGGCTAATCAGTCAATAAATCCTGGCTTTAGGCTAGGCTGTGAGGGTAGAAGAGCCCTCTAATTAAGTTACAGGTACATCACAGGTACCATACCCAGTTGAATATTATTACAGTGGACCCTCGTCTAACGATATTAATCCTTTCCTGAGAGCTCATCGTTAGCCGAAATTATCTTTAGCGGAATTAATTTTCCCCATAAGAAATAATGGAAATCCAATTAATCCGTTCCAGACAGCCAAAAGTATTAAAAAAAAAAAATTTCATGAAATATACATTTCCCTACAAAGAAAACAATGAGACATGCACAATAACTACATAAATAAATGTTAAATGACACTTACCTTTATTGAAGAGTATTGATGAGTGATGAGACACTGTTTTTCTTGAACACTGGGATTTTCAGAGTGATAAATGAGTAAAGGCTTCACTTTGCAATCCCCACTAGCACTACAACATAACATGAGAGTTAGCCTGTCTTTCATAGGCTTGTGTCCTGGGAGTGCCTTTTCCTCCTGAGCAATGTAGGACCTGTTTGGCATATTCTTCCAGAACAGGCCTGTTTCGTCACAAATGAACACTTGTTAGGGTTCGGATTTTTCAGCTTCACCATGCCTTATCGCACTGTGTATGCCACTACAATTTTTAAATCTCTCAAACCAACCTTTGCTGGCCTTAAATTCACCAATATGAGCACTAGTTCCAGGCATTCTTTCCTGTTCGCCAGGGTGTTAGTCGACTGTTGTGGGTCGCATCTTGGGGGACAAGATTAAGGACCCCAATGGAAATTAGTTAGACAGTCCTCGATGATGCACTGGCTTTCTTGGGTTATCCTGGGTGGCTAACCATCTGGGGTTAATTGTTTCTCGGTAATTGTTTCCCGTTAAGCCACACCAACAACCCACTCTCCACATCTTCGAGTAGTACAGCTGATGGTGGTGGAGCAACAGCTGATGGTGGTGCAGCAACAGCTGACTGGTGCAGCAACAGCTGACCATGGTGCAGCAACAGCTGACCGTGGTGCAGCAACAGCTGACCGTGGTGCAGCAACAGCTGACTGTGGTGTAGTAGCAGCTGACTGTGGTGCAGCAACAGCTGACCGTGGTTCAGCAACAGCTGACTGGTGCAGCAACAGCTGACGGTGGTGCAGCAACAGCTGACGGTGGTGCAGCAGCAGCTGATGGTGATGCAGCAGCAGCTGATGGTGGTTCAGCAGCAGCTGATGGTGGTGCAGCAGCAGCTGACTGTGGTGCAGCAACAGCTGACAGTGGTGCAGCAACAGCTGACCATGGTGCAGCAACAGCTGATGGTGGTGCAGCAGCAGCTGACCATGGTGCAGCAGCAGCTGACCATGGTGCAGCAGCAGCTGACTGTGGTGCAGCAGCAGCAGCTGACTGGTGCAGCAGCAGCTGACTGTGGTGCAGCAGCAGCTGACAGTGGTGCAGCAACAGCTGACCGTGGTGCAGCAACAGCTGACCGTGGTACGATAGTACGTATTTCTCACCCTTTTTACATATGATCGCTTGAGAGATGGTATCTCCTGCTATCTGTTTTTCGTTTATCCACACCAATAACAGTCTCTCAACATCTTCGAGTACTTGCGATCTCTGTTTCGAAAACAAACTTGCACATTTTGCAAGAACAGGTTCCTTGATTGCCGTTTTGTTGGCCACAATAGTAGCGATGGTTGATGGGGTTTGGTATATAACCTGGCCAGCTCCAAGGCACGCACTCCACTTTCGTACTTAGCAATTATCTCTTTCTTCATTTCCATAGTAATTTTCACCCTTTTTACCACAGGGTTGGCACTAGAAGCTTTCTTGGGGCTCATGGTGACTTATTTTGCAGCTACGATCACTAAAAACACTGATAATATGAAATGTACAGAATGTATGCGTGGATGCGACCGCACTGGCTGGCTTGTAAACACTGGCACCCACGGGGCAGCTGAGGCGTACTCAGGCCACATGTGGGACCTGGACGAATCGCGTGAGGCGAGTTTTTTAGCGTGAGGCGAGGCAAATTTTAACGCAATGCGATGCCATCGTTAGGCAGGGGTTCACTGTAGTTGCTTTTTATGACACGCGTAACATCAGGCCACTTTATATAATGCCTAGCCTTCAAGGCTTTAGATGTTAGTGCAGTAATATTTTTGAGGTTGTAACAGTGGGAACAAGTGGCAAGCAAAATAAAACATAGTATAGAAAAAAAGTTTTTTTAATGCTATTGAATTTAGCTAATTTCAAATTCTAACAATATCCAAAGTACAGTATACTACCACCTCCCCAGGCTGTGAACCACAGCAGTCAGGCAACACCCAGGCACCTGTTTACTTCTAGGTGAACAGGGGCAAACAGGTGTAAGGAAATATGATTAATGTACTCATCTACCCCAGGATTAATCGTAAGTCCTTTTATTGAGAGTCAAAGGTGCTACTACTGAGCCACGATATTGAACAGATATGTACAGGGACCTGGATGCATGATGCTGCATACATGAATAAAACAGAAAATGTAAAGTATTAGTATATTAGTCAAGACTACTGTTGTACTTCTCCTCCACAGAAATGATGACATAAAAGGCCGAGTCTGAGTACAAGATTGAACTCCCTTATGGTGAGCTCTCTTGTACAGAGATTATTACTGATGAAGCTTTTCTGAATGTGTGGAGTACAATATAAGGAATATGATAGTGATTCATTACAACTTATATTTTAGATTATATTTTATGCTTTTACATTCATTACCAACAAAATCTCTACTAAGAATGAAGTAAAATGCATTGATAATGTTCAGAAATGTGAAAGGTTCTCTTTGTTGGTTTTGGTAATAGAGCATGTCCCTACTTATGATGTCCTGCTTGTAAAACATTAGCACTTTGGAACAAGTTCATGACTTATAAACACACTCACTCTTTTGATATGAGTAAGTACTTATGACGATGGAGGGTGGAGTACATGGCAGTGAGAAATAGTGCTGCGGCTGTTAGTAAACATTGCAGAAACACAATTCGCACTCGTCTCCTTGTGTTTGCCATTTTTTCTAACAATATCTCTTTCAGTGTATAGAACTCTTTTAAATATATAGATTTCTATATATATAACAGACACAAAAAGATGAGAGTGAATCATGCGTTACTGCATTGTTTATTATCGACATAGATAAGAAAGAATTTTTTTTCAACAAACCGGCCATATCCTACTGAGGTAGGGTGACCTAAAAGCAAAAACAAAAGTTTCTCTTTTTAAATAGTATAGTGATGTATAGAGGCGATGATATTACTAGCCCCTTGCTCCCTGCATTTTAGTTGCCTCCTATAACACGCATAAATAATAAACTCAGTAAGCAAAAATAATTTTGATGGGGAGAATTTTTATTGGGTAAGCAGTGTTTATCTTCTTTAGGAATGCTTACCATTGATTAGTTCACAAAAGAAAGTTTTTGTACTGCTTATGACAAATATCAGTTTTGCCACATACATATTAGTCTGGACATCATTAAATTTTTAGCACTTATTAACTCAGCTCATATTTGATTCTTTCAAAGGCAACATTGGATGTCTGGTTAATGGTGCAGGCTTGGCCATGGCCACTATGGACATTATTAAGTTGCATGGTGGATCTCCTGCAAATTTCCTGGATGTTGGTGGTGGAGCAACAGCTGAACAGGTCAAGGAGGCATTCAAGATTATCACTGCAGATCCAAATGTAAGATAAATTAGTATATTTAGGTATACCAAGAGATTCTTATGTAATGTGCATAATACTAGGTAATTTAATTTGTATTATTATAATTTTGGGTGTTTCTTGGTTCCTTTTCCTTTAACACTTCCATTTCTCATTAAGGCAAGGTGCACCCTACCCCCTAAAAAAAACGTGTATACTACTCTTCCTTAGTGGTTTTCTCAACCTTTGAAAATCAAGTCGAGTTATAATTTCACCTACTCCATCCGATTCGACAGCTCGATCTTGCAACCACTCGACTTACAATCGTGTATTTTTATTGCCAAATTTTGGAAATAAACAACTACTTGTGTTGTACACAGTGTTTATCCTAAACCTTATGGTATAAATACAGTACTTAACAAACATAAAAGTAAAGAAAAATATGATAATACCAAAATAAAACAACTAAAATAAGTCATTTACAAAAAAGTTTGTCGATATTCAGTAGTAATAGTTTCGACTTACGACCATTCGACTTCGACAGTTTCTTTGAAACCGAACCTCGGTCGTAAGTCGGATGCTACGGTGTGCTCGGGTGTTGTGTGTGTTGTGTGTGTGTGTGTGTCGTGTGTTGTGTGTGTGTGTATTTTTTTTTTTTTTTTATTTTATCACACTGCCGATTCCCACCAAGGCAGGGTGGCCCGAAAAAAAGAAAAACTTTCACCATCTCATTCACTCCATACTGTCTTTGCAGAAGGGTGCTTTACAACTACAGTTTTTAAAACTGCACATTAACACCCCTCCTTCAGAAGTTGAAGGCACTGTACTCTCCATCTCCAGGGTATCAAGTCTGGCTTGGGTTCCCTGAAACCCCTCATAAAAAAAAAAAAAAAATTGATAATGCTCACACTCCAACAGCATGTCAGGAATTAAAACCATTTTGTCCCATTCCTACTCATATTCATACACGCTCACGGCATGCCTGCTCGGAAGTCCAAGCCCCTCGCACACAAAACATCCTTTACCCCTCCCTCCAACCATTTTCCTAGGCTGAACCCTACCCCCGCCTTCCTTTCCCTAGACAGGACTGATACACTCTTGAGTTATTTCTGTTTCATCCATTCTCTCCCCATGTTGAACCACCTCGAACAAACCTTCCTCAGCCTCTCTTGGACAACAGTTTTGTAATCCCGCACTCCTCCTAACTCCAAACTACGATTCTTGATTATATTCACCACACACATTGCTCTCAGACATAACATCTCCACTGCCTCCAGCCTTCTCTCGCTGCCAACATTTCATCACCGATGCTTCTCCCCAATATCAAAGAGAGTTGGTTTAAAACTTACTTCATACATTCCCCTCTTTTGCTACAAGGACAAAGTTCTCTGTCTCCACCGACTCCTAAGTGCACACTCACCCTTTTCCCTCATCAATTCTATGATTCACCTCATCTTTCATAGGAACAATCCCGCTGACAGGTTCCCACTACCAATTTATGAATACATTCACCGTCCTCCATTACTCTCTCCATCCATTCTGATATCATTTTTTCATCACTAAAAAAAAAAATTTTTTTTTTGTTATCCTATAGACCTTACTCACTTTCCTGTATCACTTTCCAATATTCTTCTTTTGCACACCCTACCTCAAATTCACTCACCAAGTGCTGCAACTTCTCTTCAGAATCTCCCAAGAGCACAGTGTCATCAGCAAGAGCAAACGTGAAACTCCACTTTATTGTGTGATTCTTTATCTTTTAACTCCACGCTCTTGCAAGACCTCGCATTTAACTTCTCTTACAACCCCATCTATAACTATATTGAACAACCCACGGTGACCATCACACAATCCTTGTCTCAGGCCCCCCCCCCCCCCCCCCCCCCCCTACTTTTAAGGGAAATAATTTTCCCTCTTCCTATGTACTCATAACTTGAGCCTCACTAACCTCGTATTAAAATCTTCACTGCTTTCAGTAACCTACTCTACACCATACACCTGCAAACATTCTGCACATTGCCCCCTATTCCACCCCTGTCATATGCCATTTTCATAATCATAAATGCCCACAAGATCTTTAGCTTGATCATAAATACAGGTCACTTATATATTTCACTGTAAAACACCTGTGTCACACACCCTACCTTTCTAAAGCCTCTTTGTTCATTGTGCTATCTCTATTCTCCGTTCTTACTCTTAATTCTTTTCAATAATAACTCTAAACCATACACTTTGCCAAGGTATACTCAACAGACTTATACCACTATAATTTTTGCACTATCTATAATCCCCTTTGCTTTCTATACAAAGGAACTATGCTTGCTGTATGCAATCCTAGGTACCTATACCCTACTTCCATACATTTATTAAATATATAGCACACCGAACTCACTCCAAAACTATATATCCCCCCCCACACCTTTTGCTCTTTTAATATTTCTTCTTTATCCCATCAATCCGGCTGCCGTAACCTTCATTTTACTACTTGCTCACGAACTTCCCCACACTCAAACTGGCTCTTCCTCACTCCTATACAAGAAGTTGTTCCTCCTTGCCTATTACACGAATTTACACAGCTTCCTATCTTCATCACATTAAACAAATTCTCATAAATCTTCCCTCCATTTCCAAAACACTCTAAACTCTCCATTTAATAACTCTCCCTCTCATATTTTTAACCGACAAATCCATTTGTTTCTAGGCTTTCTTAATTGTTAATCTCACTCAAACATTTTCTTATTTTCTCAACAAAATTTGGCTCGATAACATCTCACCGAATCTTCATTTGCTTTTTTTTTTTAATTGCTTCACCACTCTCTTAACCTCTCTCTTTTTCGCCATAAACTCTTACATCCTTGCATCACTGTCTCCTTTGTAAAAACTTCTTAATATGCTAACTCTTATCTCCTTACTACTCTCTTCACATCATCATTCCACCGAATCGCTCTCTTCCCTCCCGCACCCACTTTCCTGTAACCACAAAGTTTCTGCTGAAACACCTCCACACATACTTTTTAAACTGCCCCATACCTCTTCGACCCCATTGCCTTACTGCCTCTCATTAGCCATACTTATCCTCCAATAGAGTTTATATTTACCCCTTAACTGCCTCCTCTTTTATAGTTTATAAACCTTTCACTACTCTCTTCCCGGATGCTTTCATTATTCTCCTTGTATTCCATCTACCTTTTACTCTCAGTGTAGCTAAACTAGTAAAGTGATCTGATATATCTGTGGCCCCTCTATAAACACTGTACATCCTGGCAGTCTATCAACAGTCTTTATTTACCACTACAATAAAACCAACATAACTACGTCATTTCGCCCTAATATATCTTGTATCTTATTTATCCTCTTTTTCTTAAAATCATGTATTACCTATAACTAACCCCTTTCTATACAAAGTTCACAAGGGGCTCCATTATATTTAACACATGGCACTCCAAACTTACCTACCACACCCTCTCTAAAAGTTTATCCATACTTTAGCTTCAGGTCCCTACCTCATTTCTCTCTCACTTGGTTCAAAGGTGCCTATACATTCACTTAACATCTCCCAAAATCCTCTCTCTCTCTCTGCTTTCCTCTCTTCTCAGGTGCATACCACGCTTCATATGGACCACTTACTCTCATCCATCCTTTACTTTAATCACATAATTCTTGAAATTTACACATTCATATTCTCTTTTCTCCTCCAAATGATCATTCAACATAACTGCTACCCCTTTTTTTCTTTGCTCTACTCTCTCAGTTACTCCAGATTTAATCATTTATTTCCCCCCTCCGAACACTCCACTTCCCCCTTCAGTTTTGTTTGTTAGGGCCGGTCATCCAACTTCTTTTCAATTATCAACATCAGCAAATCATCTGTTCTTTGATCATGCACTACCATCACGCGCACATTTAGCATCCGTTTTATAAGTTTTTCTTCGTTCTCTTTTTTGGTAAAATGTCTACAGGAGAAGGGGTTACTAGCCTCCTTTGCTACGGCATTTTAGTCGCCCTCTATACGACAAGCATGGCTTACGCGAGGAAGATTCTTTTCCCTTCCCCAATGGACAATGAAGCAATAAAGCAGAACAGAGCTATTAGATAAAGGAGAAAATCCTGATGTATGTATTATATATATATGCATTGTGCGTATTGTCTGTGAAGTAGTGACCAATAGTGTAAGTAGGGAGTAGCATAGATACCTGTAAACTAGTTGCGTTTATGAGACTGAAAAAGAAACCAGCAATCTACATCATGCAAAACCAGTTTACGGTTTCTGTTTCACAGTCATCTGGCAGGACGGTAGTACTTCCCCTGGACGGGGTTGCTGTCTACAGAACCTACCATACCTATAATATGTATTTATATATTTTTTTATTTTTTTTAAACAAGTCGGCTGCCTCCTCACACCCCACCAAACGAGAGGGTGACCCAATTAGAGAAAGAAATCCCCAAAGTAAATACTTTCTTCCTCATTCAACACTTGCACCCACTCTCGCCCGATTAATCTAATGTTTTTGCAGAGGTGTCTAGAATCAACTGTTTAGAAGAATTACACACATTATTAAAGATACACAAACAATATCCTCAAATCAGCCAATATCCAAACCCTTCCTTTAAAGTGGCATGCGCAGGTACTTCCCATTCTCCTGGGACTCAATTCACCGACTACATGAAACATAACGGTTTCCCTGATATACCTTAACTAAATATTACCTGCTCACACTCACACAATTCGTCAGGGTCCCAAGTACCATTCGTCTCCATTCACTCCTATCTTACACACTCACGAACGCTGTGCTGAAGCTCCAAGTCCCTTGCCCACAAAACCTCCTTTTACCCCTTCTCCAACCCTTTTGAGGTAGGCCCTACCCCGCCTTCCTTCCCCTATAGATTTAATGCTTTCCATAGTCATTCTACTTTGATCCATTCTCTCTAAATGACCAAACCACTAACAAACCCCTCTTCTGCCCTGACTTAATTCTTTTATTAACTCCCACACCTTTTCTAATTTCACACTTCCGAATTTTCTGCATAATATTTCATCACAC